CCGCGACTCTTCCAGAAGAGTCTTCCGCGACTCTTCCAGAAGAGTCTTCCGCGACTCTTCCAGAAGACTCTTCCGCGACTCTTCCAGAAGAGTCTTCCGCGATTCTTCCGAGACTCTTCCAAAGACTCTTCCAGAAGAGTCTTCCGCAACTCTTCCAGAAGACTCTTCCGCGACTCTTCCAGAAGAGTCTTCCGCGACTCTTCCAGAAGAGTCTTCCGCGACTCTTCCAGAAGAGTCTTCCGCGACTCTTCCAGAAGACTCTTCCGCGACTCTTCCAGAAGAGTCTTCCGCGACTCTTCCAGAAGAGTCTTCCGCGACTCTTCCAGAAGAGTCTTCCACGACTCTTCCAGAAGAGTCTTCCGCGACTCTTCCAGAAGAGTCTTCCGCGACTCTTGTGGAAGACTGTTCCGCGACTCTTCCAGAAGAGTCTTCCGCGACTCTTGTAGAAGACTCTTCCGCGACTCTTCCAGAAGAGTCTTCCGCGACTCTTCCAGAAGAGTCTTCCGCGACTCTTCCAGAAGAGTCTTCCGCGATTCTTCCGAGACTCTTCCAAAAAGAGTATAATCTGCAAAACACTTTTTAGAAATCAAAAATCGGTTAAGTAGTTTTTTCGTAATCGTGTACCGCGTTTTTAAAATCATAGTTTTGAGAAAAACGAGAACTCATTTTAATACCGAGAAATCGGTTCCCGACGAACTTGGGCATTGAAACCGAGCAGAGGATCGGCGGTGTAGTCCACAACCCGACGATGACCGTCGGGTTCGATGAGGGAATAGCGACCCGTTACGTATTCGCCACGTCGGTGCTCGAATTGATCCTTCACATCGCCAGTGTGACTATCATGAACGGAATAATGGAACTCGTACTGGGCAGGACTGGCAATCAGTTCATCGACATGGCTGTTAATAATTCCAGCCTGAACAGCGAACAAGGAGCTCAGGATCAGAAAGAAGGATATGCTGGAAAGCAAAAATAAAATGTATAGTGTTTACTAGGTTTTGTTAGTGGAATACAACCACTTACCAACAAATTCATTGCGAAGAAGTTTGAGCTGTAATTGGAGCGACAGACCGCACTCCTCCTCACACACCTCTTTTATATGACGAAGTTTGGTCCATTGTCGCAGTGGCCAACTTTTTGCCAGATGAAATAAAATACGCCGCATTGCGATCAAACCTTATGCAACCCATATACGAGTATCGTGCCCATGGGGGAAATGAATCCAAATCCCTGCACTTGCCGCCAATTCTTGCAATCGATTCAAAACTCTTTCGGATTATATATTATCGTATAGGTAGCTTAGAGTACAACTTACGCTCGACGCTCAAGTTCTTAGGCTACATTACACAATAGTTTAGCTTAATTGTATCACAGCAATAAAACATTATATCGAAACTAGACTAACTCTACACGCCGATCCAACGATTCCCATGGCTCCATGGCTTAGTGATTTGAATTTAGATTCGGATTCAATTCGAAAATATGCAGATCAACAGGCATTTGAATTCATTCCATTCAGTTTCAGGTACAACGGCATTTCGCAAGTCGATCTCCTCAGAACTTATTCTCCAGCAGCGATCCTAAGAAAATAATATAGTGAAAAATTAAAATAACAATCCCTGATTTGAAAGCAGTTCCCTTTGAATTTACACTACCATTTGCAAGTTCCAATTGGGTAAATGCTGAGTAACTACTTTTCTAGTGGATTGGAGTGGTGTGCTCTCGATTTCTACGCTTGCTGATGACTACCCAAAGCCTACCCATTTTATATACAACGGAGTTGTTTCCTAAATTTTCAAGGAGTCAGAATTGAGCCGGAAAAGGGTGGAGGAAACTTTGAGGAAGTTGGACGACAACCAAAAGCTGAATGAAACGTTGACGGAAGAAGTAAACATGCTTCGTGGCGAAGTTCGCGAACTGAAAACTTCCACCGTCGTCGAGCCGCAAAGCCGACTTAACACTTTCCCCGTCGTCGAGCCGCAAAGCGAATTGTTAGACCCTTTGCCGTTTAAGTCAATCTTCGAATTGCAAGAATTCGACAACCTTCTTTCAGAAATCAAAGCTTAATGGGATCGGTGCGTCCCATTTGCCATTGTATGGCCATTAAGTCAGTTATATGTGACAATTTGGCAATACATATAACTTAGCGAGGACGCGAGACAAACCAAGCATTCATGCACATGGAACATTCTTTTACAAACCGTACGGATTAGAGAAAAATTTTTTTTCATATCTCAGAATTGAATGAACATTTTTTTTTCAGCTTCTATGGAAGATTTTATTCGACACGTGTAAAAAGGATTTTACTCCAAAAAATATTTTTCAATTAAATAAGTTGTGGGGATCGGCATTGAAATGTCGATATAATGATTAATTTGTTACTAATAAATAAATAAAAAATTAAATTAAAAAATAAAATTACTTTTTGAAAGCTGAATTCTTGAACTAAATAATAAAAAAAAATGTAACGATACGATTAATAGAACAAGAGATAATTGATTTAACGTGTTCAAGGATAGAGAAAACCATTGATATTGTCAAAATTATAACTTTGTAAAAAAAATTTTGTAAACAAAATACCGATACACGTGTCTTTTTATTTTGCTTCCAACACCTGGGAAAAAATTTTTACAAAAAATCGGAATTGTGTCGCAAAAAAAGGTGTACGATTTGTAAAAGAATGTCCCACATACATACATATAGCACATACCGCTGCAGCGGTCCTCGGAGTCGTTGAATATTTGGTTTGGTTTTCAAATGGCACAGAAGTGGAACTAAACAAAGTAATACAGCAACACTTTCTTCACGCCAAAGACCGGGTAAACAAACGGCAAAAAACTATTGAGTCCGTAAAAATAAAAATTAATGAACAAAAAGTATACACATGTATGTATTGTGACGGCCCGCCGCCACAATAAAATAAATAAATAAATAAAGAATAAACCAAAACAATAAATAAGCTCTTATTTTCAAATGCGCGGGCAACCGATAACTGTTTACGCAGCCCTAGACAAGCTATCGATAACTATATATGCAACCCTGAGAAAACGATAGATATCGATAACTGTTTACGTAGCCCTGGTCGATCGATAACGATCGACGACTATCGGTAATCGTGGGATAATCCCACCAGCTATCTGGGCACACTAAGTACCATCTGGGGCCTATATAAGCAGTGCCACGTCCCCATTCCAGTCACTTGTGCTCAGCAGTGCTGCCAGATTTTGAAAGATAAATTAAGCTAGATTGAAGAAAAAAATAAGCTAGAATAAGCTAAAAATTAAAAAAAGAAAGCTAAAAATATGCTAACCATGGAAAACATTAAAATAATTGATTTTTTACTTTTATTAATACGATATTGATATGATATTTATATAACTATTATAGTAAAGAAATAATTTCATCAACTTCATCATTAGATTCCATATATTTGGCGGATGATTGAACTAAAGCGAGGTATTTCGTTGGAAGTTGGTAGTCATGGCAACATTTGCTATGACGCAGTCCATATCTCTCGTCGTTTCTAAAACGACGCAACAACAATCGCAAAACAAATATTTGCAAAATTTCAGTGTGACCGGAACTTGCTAAAGATTATTATTAAAGTACAACTTATATGAATTTGGTCCAAATTATCGAAAAAATTACCAAAAATTATAATACAATCAAAAAACTAAACATATTTTGTTATAATTTTTTTTAAGCCGAAATTAGCTAAATGAAATTTGAAATAAGCCAGATTTTAAGCTATATGCATTTCAAGTATTTTTCAAGCTATTTCATTTTAAAATATGCTAAATCTAGCTTGAAATAAGCTAAAATGGCAACAATGGTGCTCAGGCGTCTGATCGAGCAACATCAAAGGGGTAAGTGTTCTGTTCTCTATTTCTGGTGGTGGTTTTCCGCAGAGCACGGATCTTTATTCGGCTCGCGACCTAGGAAGGATCACCTACGCCCGGTCTGGTTAGTAATAATCAACCTTCGGCCTGGTCAAGATCTCTGAGTCCGGTGTGATTTATCAGTCAGCCCAGCTCAGAGAGTTCCTCCTAGAAGTCACGCCCCGGCTTCCGACCCGGGAGCGAAGCGGAGTAGCATTGGACTCCTGCTGCATGACCCCACCCGAGTAGAGCGTTCCCCTGACGGACGAACAGAGCACGACGCGACAGCGGAATCCCGAGCCGATCGACGGCACTCCCAACCGGCTCTTCAGCCGCAGCGACCGATCCAGCCTCCCAGCCGTAGGAACCAAACCGGACCTTCAGCCGACGGAGCACCCGGCTCTATAGCCATAGACCCAACCGGCTTTTCAGCCACACGGAACACCCGGCTCTTCAGCCGTCGAAATTAAGCCGGCTCTTCAGCCGCACGGAGTACTCGGCTTTTCAGCCGCAACGACATCGACGCAACCCCGGCCCTTCCGCAGCGCCGGACATCGACGCAACCCCGGCCCTTCCGCAGCGCCGGACATCGACGTCACCCCGGCCCTTCAGCAGCGCCGGACACCAACGTAGTCCCGGTCCTCCAGCAGCGCCGGACGTCAACGTAGCCCGGCCCTTCAGCAGCGCCGGAGCGTCGAACATCACCGGCTCAACACCCCTCGGCCCGACAGAGCGCCGAGAGATCATACCAAGCTATATCAACCAGACTATCAATTCAGACTATATCTATCCCGACTATAATAATACCCCGTAGACTTAATTCAGAATAAGCAAATATACGACAAGAAAATACCCCAAAACACCCGACCATCATCCATATTATAGTTAAGTCTAAGTAAAGAAATATACGAAAGCTCTCTCGGCACCGCATTATCCCCTCGAGTTATTCTGGGAAAGGAGAAGGTAAACCGATCTTAAAGAGGGGCCAAACTAGATAGGAAATTCTGTCCCGAACCCTGGCCATCGGCGAGCTACACCGCCTCCCGGAACAGGGTCGTTACAGTATGCCGCATTACATATGTATGTATACTTTTTTGTTCATTAATTTTTATTTTTCCGGAATCAATTTTTAAGTGTTTTTTCGCGTTTGTTAACCCAGTCTTGGGCGTGAACAAAATGTTGCTGTATTACTCTGTTAATTTCCACTTCTGTCCCATTCGAAAACTTATTCAGTGCCAACTCTAAAAGAATATAAAGAAATCAAATTATTTACATATTACTTTTGTACATAAAAAAAACTTCTATGGTTTACCTTTTATAACGCTACATATGGTGAACGACTGGATACTTAGTTTATGACGCGTCCCTCGCCAAGTAAGATGTTTAGCCACATTGTCGTCTATCACTGACTTAATGGCCAGTCTAGTATACGATGGCAAATCCGACGCACTAATCCCATCAAGCTTTAATTTCTGAAAGAAGGTTAAAACGGTTTTTTATTGTCACGGAATATATAATTAAAATAAATTACCAGTTCTGCTCGCAATTGTTCATCAATACTTAAGCGGTCGTCGAATTCTTGCAATTCGAAGAGTGACCTAAATGGCATAGGTTCCAACCATTCGCTTTGCGGCTCGACGACGGGGACAGTGTTTAGTCGGCTCTGCGGCTCGTCGACGGTGGAAGTTTTCAGTTCTCGAACTTCGTCGCGAAGCTTTTTACTTCTTCCGTCAACGTTTCTATTAGCTTTTGGTTGTCGTCCAACTTCCTCAAAGTTTCCTCCACCCTTTTCTGGTTGTCGTCCAACTTCCTCAAAGTTTCCTCCTCCCTTTTCCGGCTCATTTCCAACTTCTTAAAAATTTTAGAAAGCAACTCCATTGTTTCTAAAACATTTAAATGTTAATTTACAATTAGAAAAATTGTTCTTTAATAGTCATATATTCCAAAAAATTTTTTTATTGATAAATAATAAAATCTTTGAGATTTAACTTAATGTTTGATTTTATTATTTACCAAATGAAATTAATTTTGTGTTATATTTGTATACCCTTGCAATTTCAGTCAGAAGTTTGCAACGCAGAGAAGGAGTCACCTCAGACCCCATAAAGTATATATATTATTGAACAGCATCACGAGCAGAATCGGAATACGTCTGTCCGTCTGTCCTCCTGTCTGTTTCTACGCAAACTAGTCTCTCAGTTTTAAAGCTATCTTGCTGAAACTTTCCCAAGAGGTGTGTAGTTATTGCACGCAGTATATAAGTCGGAACGGGCCGAAACGGCCGACTATATCGGATAGCTCCCATACGAGGGAATGAAATGAAAAATTTAATCAGATCGACTTGATTTCTTCAAGATTGCGTTTTCTAACTAGTACTATTGAATTTCGGATTAAATTTTATCAAAATCGGATAACTCTATCATATAGCTGCCATAGGAGAGATCGAAAAATATATATAGAATTAATGGAAATAAATTTATATCATCGTTGTTGTTTTTTATCCCACGAGCATGATTTTTGGAATATCAAGTTTTTTAACAATCCTTAAAATAAAAAAAAAGGTTCATAGAAATCGGACCACTATATCTTATAGCTGCCATAGGAAAGATCAAAAAATCTATATAGAAATGACGGAAATAAAATAATAACCTCGTTGTTTTTCATCAGATAAGCATGATTTTTGGAACATAAAGTTTTCTAACGACTCTTGAATTTGATGAAAATCGGACAAATATATCATATAGCTGACATATGATCTATAGTCGAAAATATGGAAAATTAAAAGAAAAATTGTCATAGCTTCGATATTGTTTAGCCTTTATGTATTTTGTTTGCCGAAGCTAGCTTCCTTCCCTGTTTATCTATGAACTTACCAGCCAGCGTTGCCAGACGTCCCGATTTTGGCGGGACGTCCCGATTTTTAAATTAAAATTAAATGTCCCGCGCGGGACAGGTTCAGTCCCGCTTTTTAATGATAATTCGAACGTGCGGGCTGATGATGACTTCCTCTCTTTCTCTTCGCTCTTTCCTTATTTTCATTTGCTTATAATTTTCTGTTTTACGAAAACGTACGATTATCAACGAAAGAATAACGATTACCATTTGTTTTAGTGCAGTGAAGCAGTGATCTTTAAGTGAGTTGCATTGCGTGCGTAATTTAGTTTGATTTCATTAAGCAAACAAAAGTAAGTTTTTCACGTGTTTTTGTTCGTGAATTATTGGAGTTTACTTATTAGAATCCTTTAAAGATGAATGCAACTAATAGAGTTCTTTATTTTTATTAAAGAGAAAAAAGAAACTTTAAAAGAAGTGAAATCTTCACAGAAATATCATGAATAAGTGATTTTTATAAATAGTTATTCTCTTATTGTAAGTTAAAATTTGAAACATTCACTCCTTAGACTATTGGTTAAAACGCCATATGGTTCTAATGAATAGTACTTATTTGATTTTGATTTCTGTTTATTATTATTTTTTTTATTCAGAGAACGAATAAAACCCAAATATTTAACGAAAAAGGAAATATCATTGGAAATATTATATTTTTGGTAAAATATATTTTCTATAGCTAATTTTACTATCTATTGTACTTTAACTTAATTTGGATGGAAATAAAAAGATAAATATTTTAAAAACTTCTGGATATATACGTTTTTTATTATGTCCCGCTTTCGACGTAAGAGTCCCGCTTTTTTCACTAAAAAGTTCCTAAGTCCCGACTTGGCAAAAAAAAACTGGCAACGCTGTTACCAGCGTTTGTTTGCTCCATTGTTGTTGTTGTTATCTAAAGAAATGGAATGAAATAAATAATGAAATAATGAAGTTACACGTTATAAAACTTATGTCATACTATGGCACCATTTCAACTATAAAACTTACAAGTAAATTTCTTGCAATTTAATTTTTTTCGACAGCGATTTTGTCATCTAGCAAAATTCTTATTGCAAGAGACATTTTGATTAACACAAAATGGGCTAGCCGAGTTGACCAGAAAATTGCAAAAAATTGTCCGAGTTGAGCAGAAACGTTTTTTGGACATAAAAAATGAACGTCCAAGTTGAGCAGAAAACCGATAACGGTAAAAAAAAACATCCGAGTTGAGCAAAAACGCTTTTTGCACATAAAAAATCAATGTCAGAGGTACGTCAAAATCATTATTTATTCATAAATTTATTATTTATTATTCATTTATTTGCAAATAATTATTATTATTTTAAGTTCGCGCGCACTTTTGCATTGATACATATGCTATATGATTATTAAGTAATTTTTCTAAAAATAAAAATATGTATGTATGTATTTTTATTTTTGGCGGAAAATTTATTTAAAAATATTGCCGGCGGGTATGTGTTGAGCTTTCGATTTTAATTAAGTGGACTGTATTGCAAGAAAAGGTGTGCAAAATATTTAACGTAGGACTGCAGTGAAAAAAAAACACTTTGAAAATGGGGGCCCTTTTTTGGCAGAACACTTGGAATTTTTTTTTCACAGAAATTATTTCTTCACTGTTCACTTCGAATATTTTGCACACTTTACACTTGTCGTTAAATTTTGGATTTTTCACTTTTATTCAATTTCGGAATTTGCACTTTTTATTAAAGTTTGCAATTTTAGCTCTTTATTAAAGTTTTGGAATTTTGCTCATTTGATGTATGTATACTTGTATGTACATACATATGTGTACGGTTTCACTTTGATGTACGGGCCAAAGAGGAATTGGAGGAATATGGCGGCACGATCAAAGAAAAACGGAAAATGGAATAGATCTTAATAATTGCCGTTTTCGGATTAAATCGGACTTGGATTTTTAGAAAAATCATGCAGAAAGTCAAACGAAACAGTGTTTTCGAGTGGCTGACTGCAGACCGGCAAATTAATATATGTAGATCTTCGTACTTATCTTGAGCAATTTCGGGCGCTGATCGAATCTGGCTCGATTGGATCAAAAAATGAAGTGGCGGGGCGTCCAACGTTGAAGGCAGCAAACTCCTGGTATCAGCGACGGCTGGCGGGGTAGGCTGTGGGGGCAAGAAAAGCACTCGACGATCGCGGGAAAGAAAAAGAGACTTGGAATTTCGGTATTAGCGCGGACCGGCCGGGCGTTTATTCATGCGGTGACGATTTTGGAACTAACTTAAGCTAAGCTAAGCTAGGCGCTTGGAGGCGCAGCGGAGACTTCTCGCGCTCGGGGAGTGGAGAGCCTTGACGGCCGAGCGCGACATGCTCCAAGCTTCGGGAGAGGGAGAGTGCGGTGTGGGGAGAAGCTCCGGGAGAGGGAGAGGCCTAAACAAAACTGAAAACTTAAAAAATAACATTTTTTTTTGAAAAATTTAATTATTAATTAAGTGCGCGCGCACTTTTGCATTGATACATATGCTATATGATTATTAAGTAATTTTTCTAGTAGGCATATAATAACGCATAAATATTATATTTATATATATCATATATATATAAATATAATATATATATAAATATATATATATATCAATTAATCCAAACGATATAATATTCAGGAAAGAAAATAGAAGAAATAAAATAACCCCTCGCTTCTCTAAACACAAAGTCCTAAAAGACAACAAAATCACACTAATTTCAACAGGATTACAAAAATTACATAAAGCCAAAATCAAAAATAAAATTAAAACGAACCCAATACCTACAGATTCGCGCTAATCACAGCCCAAGACTTAAAGGTCCAACAATTAGGAAACGACACCCCCCTCACTTAAGATAAATTTAGGACAAGCCAAGATCGTTCAATCACATAAATATCTCACATATATAATTAATTTACAAGACTTTATCGATGGTGTTGTAAATTTCGAAAGAGCAATTAATAAATTAAAAAGAAATCTGGAGTCTGACGACGCGGTTGACAGACTATCTACAAAACTTCAACAACTAAAAAACAGAGTAGAAATGTTATTACTCAAGAAAAGACAGAAATGCGGACTGATAAACGGTCTAGGAAAGGTCATAAAGGTAGTGACAGGAAACTTAGATGACGCAGACGGACGTAGAATCGAGAATAATTTTAAAACTATTACAGAAAATCAGAGAGAAATAACACTAAAGACTAACAATCAGGAAATATTTAATAACGAGATTAAAGTCAGATTTCAAAATATCACAGATCACATTAACAAGGAACAACAAATAATTAACCATTTCTTAAAAAATTACAAAAATACTATTTTTAAAACTATGAATTCGGAACACTAATTAATTCAATTCAATATATATCTAGAATAAATATTAATATAGACGTATTAACAAACTATTTAAGTAACATTGAAGAAAGTTTGTTATTAGCCAAACTAAAGATCGTACCAACTTTCATTGTGTCCAAACAAGAATTAGATTTAATCAGGCAAGAAATTAATGATTTAGATCTACACAATTTGTCAGACGAACATCTAGTAGAAATGCTAGAATTAGATACTTTTATGATCGGAATCAAGATAAATTTTAGAATAAGAATACCTTCATTTAAACAAAATTGTTATCAACATTGTTCCCTTACCCATTAACGAATCTAAATTTCTAATTTTACGGAATTATATGGCTTATTATAACTCGAAAATGTATATTATTTCACGAACAGATGTAATAGAATATACGAATATTTCATATGTGAAAACACAATTACAGCCCAAGAAAACATTTTTTGTTTTATATTTTTTTTTGTTTTATATTTATTTAGTGCTGAATCTGTACAGCAAATTAAAGTACTTAACAACACAGGTGTCACAAATGAGAAAAGTGAACCAAACCTCAGCATTAAGATGAGGATTATAAATAGTATGTTAGTATGTTAGTATGTTATAGTCTTGGCAAAGCCTTGCCTTTTGAGACGCCTCAAAGGTCTCGCTGGGAGTAGATTCCTAGCCAGTAAGCTGCGGTGTCTTCCTAATCGATCTCTGTATCGGCTTGTGTGTCTCCCAATCTGTTCTTCCACAGTGTGTAGATTTAGGTCTCTGTGAAGTGTTGTGCCACGCACATACCAGGGACAGTCGGTAATAGTTCGTAGAAACCGATTCTGCAACACTTGTATCCGTTTATAATTCGATTTGGCTGCGATCCCCCAAATTTGGATACCATAAAGCCAAATTGGCACGATGCAGTGTGCGTAAACTGCCCTTTTGCATCTTAAAGGCAAAGTACTTCGTCTATTTATAAGCCAACGCAGTTGCTGGATTCTTACGTTGCATTTTTTAACTGTGGCTTTAAGATGTGGTCCAAATGTAAGGCGCTTGTCCAGTGTGATTCCCAGATACTTGGCTTGTGACGGCTGCTCCAGGGTGACTCCCTCTAGCTGGATTTCAGGAGTGTTCGGTATAAGCCTTTTTAGTGTGAAACAGGTGTTTGTTGTTTTTAATGGATTAATTTTCATGTTCCACCTTTTGCACCAAGCAGCAAGACTTATTAAGTATTCCTGAATACCATTAGCTGCCTCCCTGCGACATCTGGAATTGTAGATGACTTCCAATCAAAGCTTTGGAAGGATCTATCATGTGATGTCTGTTTGGGCTTGGTATATCCACTGTATATAAAGAATAAAGCAGCGGCCCAAGCACACTTCCCTGTGGTACTCCTGCTCTCATTCGATAGTTATCAGAGTATCTGTCCCTAACTCTGACCTTAAACTCACGTTCTTCTAGGTAGGATCTCAGAAGACCATAGTAGGGGGCAGGTAGGAGGTTTTTGATTTTAAGCAAAAGTCCAACATGCCACACCTTATCGAAGGCTTGCTGCATATCAATGAAAACTGCGTTGGAATACTCTTTGTCATCAAAGGCCTGCAATATATGTTTCACCAATCTATGGACTTGTTCCACAGTGCCGTGTCCTCTTCGAAAACCAAATTGGTGGTCTGGCAAGATATTGTCTCGATTCATAATAACTGCTATTCGATTGGCAATGAGTCTCTCCCACAACTTGGACAGGGAAGATAAGAGGCTTATCGGACGGTAAGACTCAGGATCAGCCTCTGGCTTACCAGGCTTGTGGATCATCTGAATTGCTGCTAATTTCCATTGCTTTGGGAACACTTGAATCCTAATAATAGCATTAAAAATTAATGCTATATATAGAATCGCTTTTGTAGGCAAGGCCTTCAACGTTACGTTGCAAATTCTATCAATGCCTGGAGCTTTATTTTTCGGTAAGGACTGGATGACTTCGGATATTTCTTCAATCCTTATAGGCTTAATAGGCAAAGAAATCTGCAGAGGCGTCTCCAGAGTTTGATGGTCTCACTAACCTGATCTATCGATGCAAAGTTATACGGAGTGAAGCGATCTTCTAAATGTAGACCGAAAGCATTGGCCTGCTCCACTTCATTTTTTTGCAAGCTCACCACTGGGACACCGAACAGGAACCTGTCTAAGGGGCTGTCGCTTAAGCGATTTTGTACACTTCCACAATGAATAATTTGCATCCACAGTGTAGTCCAGGGTAGAATTTAGTTGGAAGGAGTTATCAAGAATTTGTTTAAAGGCGAAGAGATCAGTGCGACTTGTGATTAACCGAGGGCTTGGCCTGATATTAGTACCATTTGTTAGCAGTTTAACAATAAGGGCTATGTGATCCGACTCCAAGTCCCAGTTTTGGCAGATATTGATTTGAGAATCCATAATTCCGTGGTATAAGAAAACATTAACTCTGAATGTTTAAATAACATACTTTCATTAAACACTAAAAATTGTAAAGTCAAAGACATTGGAAACCAAGAAATAACTACAGAAATAGAACCAGCACACATATTAATTTTAAACACAATAAACACTACAATTGAATCTAATTGTACTAAAATTGCTGTAAAAGGATCTGCTTTAGTTACGGTCAAAAAATGTGAGGTATACATCCATCAGATCCCAAACGATGAAAAGTTGTTAAGATTTGAAGATAAAATAGAAACCACTATTCCTATCATTCAAAACATCAATTTTACAGAAAACATTGAAGATATTAACTTACACAAACTTAAGGCAGTTTTTTTTTTTTTTTTTTTTGGCTTATCGTTTAAAAAATATGTTCCGAAAATGTTCTCAAAAAATTTCAGATCCAAATTTGAAATATTACAAAAGTTACAGGCCCTTACATGGAGCACATGTCGAGCACCGGCCATTGGAAGCCAAAACTTTAGACGCGTTTATCTCGGAACCACGTTTTCGGACCTTACGGAGTTAGGGTTAACCAATCGTCATCAAATTGTTATTTCAATGTTCCTAATTGTTTCCTTTAACTAATGAACTAGGATTATCCCAAAATATTGAAAACTGTTTAATTGATTTTTTTTAAAAGCTAATAACTTTTGCAATCTTAATTTTTTTTCTGATCCTAGTTCATTTAATACACAGTTCTGTACACTTTAAGAATCTTTTTTTTTTGTGTTTCCGATTAGCCGTTTTGGCTGAATCACTTCCGTAAGCGGGACACCTTTTTGCCGAAATGTTGCAACTGAGGAAAGCCCCCTCCCGCCCCTTTTTTGATTTTTAAATTTTAAAATTTTTTTTCGCAAAATAAATATGTTTTCAAATAAAGTTACAAATTTCAGATTTTTATCTTTAACCGTTTTCTCAAAGCAATTTTTTTAAAAAGTGTAATTTTTCGGCCCTACAAGGTGAGAACCTGCCTTAATATAAGATCCATCAACGCTACCAATTCAATTATTTACTGGAAAAAGTTTACAACTACTAATTTTGGAGATATGTATATACAGTGGTGGCCATAAGTATTTTGACAAAATGAAAGTGAAATATACTCGAAACTTGAACTTGCTTCTTTTAACTTTTGGTATCAATGGAAAGGTAATTTAAATGCCGTTTGAATGATACCATACTTTTCTCAACTCATTCGATATTTATTAAAAAGGGCAATTTAAAAAAAAATAAAAAAACTTTTTCC